ATTATCGTGTTCCGAATGGCACGTGTCATGTGACAGGTATCCACATGACACCAACAGTGCGATGCAAGCTTTCAATACAATCGTATTCAGTAATGGGTGCTGCTAGACCAGCAATTTGTATAGTTATATAAATCCTGATTTAAGAAAATATGTTAGATATTAAAACAGAAAATAGAATAATTACTCATTAAATATGATAAGCCAAAGTATCGGGTTGTGTGTAATAAATAATTTCGAATTTGTGAAATAAATCTGTTTACTTTTTTTGTCGCAAAATGGAAAGTTTGATTAACACGTAAATTAAATATTTGTTTGTCGAAGTTGTAGCCAAACTCCTCACGATTCTTTCACGTTGCGTGAAAGCGCGTGGTGTATAAAAAACACCAATACGAAATTATTTATTACACGATTCGATATATATTCATATATTACTGAGCAAGGGAAACTAAATAACGATAACTGACGCGTAATTTACACAATTATACAAATAATCCTTGCTTTATTATCATCTCGGAGCATATGGTAATAGACAACGGAAATTTCGAGTCACGCATAATGAATGTTTACTTTCGATCACACGCGTGAACGCAGCTGGGTCTATATCCATTATAGATCAGTAACTCGATATCGGTACATTTTCCTAACACTCGACAAACATTCATGTAAAACAAGTTCGGTTAGGCCGCAAGAAAAGTCGAACCCTAAAGACGGTACATTTATTATGCAGCATCGTTAGGTAATAATTGCAATCTTTTCGTGGAATGAACATTTACTCAGAATTGTTCTGTGTCAAATTCAGGTAAATAATATTTCGCATTTTTATAAGAAATTAAAAAAATTACCGTGTAAAAGTTGACACGTTACACACATTAATTTTTCATTACAGAGTTTCTAATAACTCATTTTTTATTATAATTTTGTCACACACTGAAACTTCGTCGTATACATCTAAAATGTTAAATTAGAAAAAAGATATTTCTTGAAGTCACGAAAATAGACGAATACATTTTTTTACTTGACGTCATATATTTTTCATCTGAAACGTACATAAATTCAACGATTATGCATTCCTAATAACGTATGCGCATTTTAAAGTCGAACTCTCCGTGATAAGACGATGCGCGAAGCCGCGTTTAGCGGTGCTCTAATGAAACCTTAAAACGCGTATCGAGTATCAGTCGCCTCGGGGAGATCCCGAGATGGATCGCAGAGACAGAAAAGGACGAAGGCCCCTCGCATCCGGGTACGTTCCTATCCTGTCGCTCGTACGTCAACCCTCGTTGTTTTTTTGCCGCGCTCTTAATAATTGATCATCTGATTACGATACATTATACCTTCCCTACCTTTTCCCTTCCCCCTTTTCTCTGCTTTTCTGCTTTAGTGTACTGTCGGAGAGCATTATTCCTGCACCGAGAGAAGTAACGCATCGAAACAGATAGAAAGAGAGAAAAAGAGAGACAGCGGGCGAGAGAGGGAAACTTTTTCTTTCCGCCGCGCCCGGCGACGGACGGCCATTTGCATATAGGCCCCCTTATCGACAAACACACCGGGGGCGCCCTTCGTAATGAGGGCCCCCTCCCTTCCTTCGACGTCCCTCTTTCCTTTATTTTTTCAACGTGGACCGCCATTGTCCGTTAACTCATTCGTCGGGACAGCGTGGACCAGTAGTATCTCGCTTCCTTCCTCGTTACTCCCGTTTCTCTCTCTTTCTCCAACTCGCGCTCCTTTTGCTCTTATTGTACGAGGACGTAGTAGCTTGTGTAACAAAAAAAAAAGAGCGAGATAGGAGTGGTGGAAAATAACAAAACCGGTCGGTCACACGTCGAAAAATATGAATCGCACAGATAGAGATGCGGATGCGTTGACGCTTGAGTCTCGTGACATCTGCTTCCCGAAATAAGTGCAAAAAAAAAGGGTCAAAAGAGAGATCTCGCGATCGTTTTTGCCGCCGTATATAATTGTTGCCGTGACAGCACGCGGATAATGCCGCGCGCGATTCTATATGTTGTCAGTAATAAAAAGAACGAAAAAGAAAATATTTCATACACGTAACAAACGGCGATTTACCACATCCGATTTTCTATTTTTAATTCTCATTTTAACAAGATCTCGCGGATGAAATATTCGATAGCAATACGCAAAAATCCAATGTTTTATGACTTGTACACAACTTGTACATAATGTTACAAATAATGTCGAAAAATACTATATTTCAACGGGTTACAATTTTTGACAAATTTACTGTCAATGCTTTTCTTTTTTTTTCTTTTTTTAATAAAATATTAAATTTAAATATATATATAAGTGATTGATTAATATTCCAATATTTTTTTCTCTGACTTTGCGTATTAATTATGATAATCGTTTCTTAAGATTAGAAGCGCAGAAATCCTACTATTAGCAAATTATCGATGTTAACAAGTCTTCCGGTGCAATATATCTGGCATCTCGCAGATAACAATTCCACGATTATAATACCACGATTTCTCAAGCGTCCTAAATTACAGCCATTAAATTTGAATTACGCGAAGGGAATCATAGGGCTGTGAACCTAGTGATTTCTCGAATCTCAGGATTCTTAATGGATCGCACTAACGACGTAATTTTGAAAAATCGTCTCTCGAGATTGAATGTTCACGAAACATGTGGTATTACAACATATTACATATTCCGGTGATGAGTACAATAACTCATCTGTAATTATACCTATCAACGATGCCTAAACATCATCGATCATACTTTACCCTTTTCAAGTTTTTAATGAAATGTTTTCGTTGCTAAAACAACTGCATTATTTGTACATTTTAAATTTACGAGTAATATTTTTATTCTACATTTTTATTATTTGTACGTGTCTATAATCAATAAATTTATATAACATTTAAAGAGGACTTTAGACTTTAAATATTATTGAAATTAGTTGAATTAAACAAGATGTTAATAAAACTTATATACTCGTTTTTATGGATTTTTGGAGGAAAGTTTAATTAAATGGATATTTTATATTGAAAAGAGTTTTTGCGTAATAAAATTTTAGAGTAAATAAATGTATATTGAAAAGAGTTTTTGCGCAATAAAATTTTAGAGTAAATAAATGTATTTCCATTTCTAGACAATAGTTGTGTATATATATATACAATATATAGACAATGTATATATATACTGTACCAAACTATCTTAAGTAACTTTACGGCTTCGGGAAGTATCCGCTGCTTCTCCGCAAGTGTCGCTTGCAGCATTATTCGTGGCTCATAGGAAGATGCAAAACCATTCTCGTTCCCCCGAGATCGATCGTTACCGACATTGTTACCCAACTGTCGGGATAATCTGCGATGAGAATCACGCGCTGTGATAGATACGAAGAAGCGAGCTCACGTGTGTCCGGCCCGGAGGCGGCTAGGGCAGGTGCGACTTGCTGGAGAATAATTAATATTCAGTGAGGAAAAAGTGGGCGAGAAAGGCCGACGATGGTTTCCTCTTATAAACAGTTGACGCGTTAGCGACTGAGGTGCGCCGCCGCTTGCTAGCCACGTACACCTGGTTCCATCATATAAAGAAAAGAAAGAACGAAGGGAAGGAAAGAACGTCTCTTCTCAACATACCAATTACGCCCATTATGGACGGACGTTCGGTTACCATGATCATACCTAACCCGAGACCGCTTAACTTAATTCGAAAATTATGCGTTCGTATACCGTGTATCGGTGGTGAAATGATACAGCGTGGAAGACCGCGTGCGTTTCCGTTATTAATACCGAAGTTGTCTCCTCGCCTTCCGGTGCGTGGATCGACTAATTTATGTTAGTCGCGCAGCGCTTCGAATTGCGTTGTGTAAAAGATACCCTCGATTATCTCTTATCGAAGTCTGCATCTCACACTACACTTGCGAACAGTTTTTTTTTCTTTTACTTTCCATTGAATATCAATTAATATTTTTCTTAATTCTTTTGTTAATATGCGATAAATTTTGTCATTCGTAAAATTTTCAATAGTTATATTTCACCCGCAGTTTTTCAATTTTCAACGTAATTCTCAATAATTTAATTCATTAAAATTTTCTACTTTGTAAAGAGAAAATAGGTAACGGTTGAGACGCCCGGTATACTCACGAAACACTAACGATGATTATGATAACCACGCGAGTTTTGCAATATATTCAAACTTGCCCACCATGAGACAAGTTTACGATGGACTTGCCATCGCGATTCCCGCATCGTCATCCCCAATGATATCATTATCGGTAATCTAAATAAAAGGAAAAAAAAAAAACAGATGATCGGCCCCAGCTTGTCAACGAAGGTATCGTCCGATCGTGCCGCGCCAGGAATTGCAGCTGCAGAAAACGAGGAAAACTTGTGATCAGATAAGAGTAAAAGCAGGGGGCGGCATAAGGGAGGTAGAGAGAGGGAGATAAAGAGCGCTCGCGGAGGAACGGAGGAGTACAAATTACGGGCACCCGGAACCGTTCTTGTGGCCGTGTTAACTTTCGTCGCGTGCCTTCAGGAAATACCTCAACTTTTGCTGCCACGTGCTATCGTTGGGACATTATAAACTTTCCATCGTTCACCTTTGTCCTCCGTCTGCCTTGGCCCTTCATTGCGCGCGCGCACGATAAAATTTACAAATTACTTCCATAATCGTTTCTTTCGAAAACAAACTATTTTTGTCATTAAGAAAATTTATCTTTTTTTTTCAAAAACCTCGGCGGATACTTATTATTTTGCAAAATTATTCAATCTAAATTATTTAGTTGATTCTATTGCAACAATGTCTTTTATGTAACTGATGTCCAATAAAAGTATTTTTTTTTTATTGGATAGACAAATTGACACTTGATTTTGTGAATGTATTTTGAATGAAACATATGCCGAAATGCATAACGAAGATATTTACTTAATGAGACTTGCGATTACAATTTAAAGCGCTATTTAAATCTCGCTAAAATACAAATCTACATTATTCGACTCGCAATAATCATGTAAACGCGTTGTATTTTTCAGATATGAGGCTGTGGATCAGCTTTTTCAAGAATTAAAATTGGCCTATCCAAATTTGGATATTGATTGGATGATGGTGTATACCGCAGGTCTCACTGTAGACGATCAGGGTCTACCCGAACACGTGACGGAACCCAATGATCTTGATCGCTTGATCAGTGGAACATTTAGATCATTTTTGGCGGCTCTCCCTACACCTCCAACAATTGTCACCATAGCTAGGTAAGTCACTTCATTCATAATTTTAGAAATATAAATTTATGAAATAACCTTTTAATTCTTCAATGAAACAATCTACGAGATATATCAAAATCAGAAATAATTGCGTACATGATATGTAGAGAACTGTGCAAAAATTGCGTTGTATTTAGAAGGTTGCGCAAAGGGAAGACTTAAATTAGCAACCAACGTCTCGACACATATCAACAATTAAACGCGAAGATTGTATAAATTGGTTTTAATTTATGATTTCAACGATCGAAATTATATTGTCCCGTTTTTATATGCGCGAAACCGAGGCCCGCAATGCCGCAGATGGCATGAAAGAAGATGCTGGGAGGGTACGAAATAGAGAAGAAGGGCGGCTTATAGGGGTGACACGACGGGGCTGTCCAAGGGGTGGGTTCAGGATCATGGGTAAATCGTGAAGCCCCACCCTCCAGAAGGGCGAAGATGGGTTTCATATAGAGATGCAGAAAATCAAACTATCCAACTTCCGCATATCCTAGCTAGATGTCCTTACTTTTAATTTCCTAAAGCAGATCCTGTACATTTTTTACTCTCAGCTTTGCCTCGTCATTCTCTAAACATCAAGGTGAATGGCGACGACGTTACTGCTGGATTTACGAAATAATTCGCGTTATAAAATATCGTACACGTTTGTTACAAATCAAATTTCTCAGATCAGATTTTATTGGACACATGCTTGAATGTTATTTTAAAAATACACAAATATAGTCGCAATTTATGTATGTATGTACATTTATGGATACATTTGTCGAGCATATCAGTGTATTGACTTTGCGATTATTAAAACATACAAATGGAAAATTAAAATTGTTACGTTGCAAGATGCAAATGTGAAAAAAATTACGTTTAAGAATATAAATTCTCTAGATAAATTACAGTCACAAATATTTACGTAGTTTTATATTTTGATTAAATGGATTCTTAAAGATTTTATGAAATTGGAAGAAAGTATCTTGCTCGTGGAAGGAAATAAATAGGAAGTGGAAAACATTATTGTGTCAAAAATTGTTGCAGTAAAATACTACTCAAGAAAAAGAGAGAAACATTTATATTTCATTAAAAAATATTGTTTTTACATTTTTCCATCTTTAAATTAATATCTTTCCGATAATTTAATATAATTATGTATCAGAGTTATATAATGGGCTCTCTATTTTTGCTTTACATAGTTATTTTTATATGTAAAGAAAAAATAATGAACTTTGAACTTTGTAAGTGGTAATTTGGCGCCATCTCGTGCCGAACGCACGGAGATTCTGCTAAAACTTCCGGCAGAGGCTGAAAAAAATCGATTCCACCCTATTCGACGTACATTTCCATCCCTCGTTGTTCCCAACCCCCCCTTCAGCACATTAGTTTCCGGGAGAGACGCGGAAACGCCGCCGGATATCGTTTCTGGACAGTCTGCACTTTCTCTCGTAGTTTGCCAAACGGCGATTAAGCGATCAGAGACAAAATTCAGTAGGAGTGGAAAAGAGAAGAAATGTAAAACTGGCACGAAAGTGAAATTGACGAAGGTAGTAAAATTGATGGCATAGAAAAATGAAAAACGGACATAGATGAAAGTGCGATTTTTAACAAGCAATTTTTGTATTTAACATTTTTTTCTTTTTTTATTTACTTTGCTTGTAATTGAATATAAATTCTTTTTAAATAATATTAGGTTTTTAAGAATATATAACAAGAAAGAATTATAATCGAGAGGTGTTGTGTAAATGTAGTATTATATAATATCAGAAGTTTTATTAACGTAGAACGAACTATTATTATAATTAATTAATATAATTGATAACTTACAAATAAGGCAATGATATTTTTATCTTATCAGATCTAGCGATGATGAATATACGCCTCCCGAAAGCGTAGATCAAATTCAGATTGACGTTCTCGATCAACTTGGCGAACGTATAGAACCGGAAGTAGACGTGCAACTGATTTATCAGGAAAATCAAGAACAAGCATGAATCTTGAAAAGTTTGTATTATCCCACCCTTTAAATCCTTAACATCACAATTTTTGAAATAAAGGTATATCAAGAATATATATTTTAGACAATTAACTATATAAACATACCCCGTACATTAAATATTTAATATATTAGAATACAATAAATTAGTATACACAGCGATAACAGTTAAGCGACATCTATATTAATTAACAAACCACAAACATGAAAATCGATGAACAGATGTTATCACGTATTTCTTAACGAACAGGGACCTTGCAATATACGATAAAAAAATACGTAGATATCATTCAAACTGTCGCACAATTGTCCCTTATAATAATTATGACAGTTTGTGTCTGAAGCGTCCCGAGTCTTTCAGACAGTCGAAGATCGTAGGGCAGACACGGAAGAGAAGGGACGTGGCGACTCTTTGATCGCTCGACGGCGATTTACATAAGATCGGTGCCACTGGTCCACTGTGGGACGCGAGCACAATGCCGATATGAAGGTTGTCGCTTTTTTTTTCGCAGCAAAAGTACCCCCTTCCCTCGTTGTCGATCCTCGTTCCACGAGTCTCGGATTTGCATACCCTAGGCCAGTTTCCCACACGTCTCAACAGCTTCCGTCTCGTCTCGGTCGCTTCTCTCTCACCTTGCATCTCTCGCTCTCCCTCACCTTTCCTCCCTTCTTCTCCGCCGACACGCAACCCTTTCAAGCCGACGGCGGAGACAAAAACGCGGGAGTGCCCGAAAAAAACGTCTTCCTTCTCCCACGGTGACGGCATTTCCTGGCGAGACTGCTCTCAAGACGTGTCTATTGTGGACACGGCACAACGAGCTTCGGGATAGCCGTGGATGTGTTTTTCATTTTTTTGCATACGCCAGTTGAAAACGAATGACGGAAGCGGAAGACACGGGCGCGCGTACAGCCTTGCTCGCGTTGGGTCTTTATTAAACGCGCGGTTTTAATATCGTTGGAATATTGACGAGTATTATTAGAAGTATGGTTGTCATTTTTTACGTGATAAAATTTAGAATTTTATTTTCATTAAATCTTAAAGTAATAAAACAAAGAAAAATGAATAGAAAGCATTAATGATCTCTTTGATCTGAGTATCGTTGACATAGCTTTACATAATAGCAATGCAATTGATATATTTTTATTAACCAAAACTAAAATGGTAAAGATTTATTTGGATATTTATTTTCGCACAAACTCTTTTGTTTTTATTTTCTTAATACGAATAATTTGTAAACATTTCAAGCGTGTCAAATTTTTGTCGACGTCTTTCTTGGACAGTTTGTATTTAGATAGATGTCGGTTTTGTGCCCGACGATGAACGCTGGAATGAACATTAAACGGACAAGGTGAATGCGGAAGTGCGGTCGCGCGACTAAGGGGCGAACGTTAAGGAACAACCGCAGGAAAAGAGGAGAGAGAGAGAGAGTTTACGAGTCGCCAGCCTCCTAAGTAATGATTGTCGTTAACCGCCGCGCCGTACGGGCCGCTCGCTCGGCCCGCAGCCGAGACTTTTGTATGCTAATGACAGGGTGGTCCGATTTCATCCCACAGCCGAAGTAAAAAATCTTGGGGGTCAACAGACCCATCGTTCGCCCGAGTTTTAAGTCTCCCTCGAGCGCCATTGACCTCGAATTAAAAACGGGTGCGACCTTCCGTCCCGCCGACTCCGTCCCGCCCGGAAATTTTACAACGGGGTCTCTCGCCTCGTAATGTAACACCTCCACTTATTTGCTTTTGCCTCATGCACTTTTCCTCGCGGAAGTACGATCATCTCAGATGGCAAATTTTACGAGCTGAAAAAAAAGATGCGGCACAGAACAAAGAGAATCAAAGATCTATTGCGGTTTCTCCAAGTTTACAGTTTTCAAAAATATTCTTTTGATAAATTTTCATTGCGATTACTTGATTACATCATTCATTGAGAAATGCATTTTTTCGGAGACAAATAAATAGACGGATTTTTTAATAAAATATTAATTTTTGTACCATCTCTTGCATGGTTGTGATTTATTTATAAATTTTTATTTAATCTCTAGAGTTTGTCTTTTAGAATTATTATAAATAATGTGTTAAATAAAAATTTATGCGCATTGATTAGTAGAGAATTCATCGGAAAAATTATTAAAATTGTCGAGACTCGAATATGATGACTAGATAATAGAATAAATTAATTGGAATTCTTATTAATACTTTTGTCATTTGGGTTACAGCTTCGTGAATGTAAATATTGTTCTAAAGCGCAGAACTCTCTTTATAATTTGCAATTTTCTCTTCTCTCTCACGGTCGTTCGCATTTCATTCATCCAAGTGACACCGTGTCAGTGGGTTCTAAGGGAATTATTCAAAACCAGCCCTGACTGGCAAAAGTGCAGCCGTCCCTAGAACTGTAATCCCATACCCGTATCTGATCTGCATAAAAGAGAAGAAAAAACGTCGCGCGGGGAAAAACAAAAGCGCCGTGGAAACGCGAATTTGCTCGATAGATTTCGTCAAATAAATTAACATAGCGAAAATCCTATTGACTTTTGAAATTGCAAATATAGATATTTGCAAAAATTGTTTGCTATGGACTTATTCAAGAAAGTCCAAATGTGAAGTAATAAATGCTTTACATACTTTTATACTTTTGACTTTATATCTAGCTGTAAATAAGTACGCATCTACTGCGGCTCTTCTTTCGGTATATATTTTTCATTATACATTTGCGTGAGAAACTTGCAAATCGCCGCGAGAAACGAAACGAGCCGCTCATATTCAGCAGCCGGATGCCAATTAAAAAATCTCAGCGACATCCCGCTTTTCCCGCCGAAGCTGAAGTAGCGTCCCCGCGTCCCTTCGAGAAGCATACCCACCGATTATGCGCGTGACGAAAGAGATCTTCAGGCGAGTATGCTAATGCGCGCGGCGGCATAATGCGAGGCCGATACGGCGCGGCAAAAGCCAATTATGGCGCGGAGACCCATCGTGCCCGATACTCTGTTTTGCACGTAGGTCGTCCTCAAAGTCTCTCTTTTTCTCTCTCTCTCTCTCTCTTTCTGTTTCTCTGCCCCTCGACGCGGTCGCATAAACGCGAACGAGACGAGAGAAAGAGCAAGAGTCGCATAGACAACACCATAGGCGGAGGCCTGCACCGGTGGCCATTGTTCGAAAGCGCTATTTGTATTTATTTGGGCCCTTTGTTCGAGCCTTGAGAGATTCATGGAGCGGAAGGTGGGGCGAGAACGGCCAGAGAAAGAGAGAGAGAGAGAGAGAAAGATGAGAGAATTTATTTGGAGGACGAAGCAAAGGGTGAGAGAAGTCCACTAGTCGTTACGGGACTACTCTGCGTTTCGGATGAAAAAAACCGCGCGGCGCGAGAGAGGAAGCTTCAGTCCGTATTATCAGTGCATTCACGCCGCGAATACACAAAGCTGGCAGAAAGACTAGCTGAGTAGCAGCAAGTTATCTCTTTTGAAAATACTTGACCGTATTTTCATCGCGCATTCTATCTACTGCATGGTTTGATTAATATTAGATGAGCTGTAATTATCGCCATCGCTTTTTTCTACCTACGAATTCTTTTAAATCTTTATAAATGATCGAGGCTGCGTGCACATGGAAGAAGTGACGATAATTGCATGCGATAGTCTTGAGGCGCTGTATTTAAAGGCAGCGTGATATGAAGTTTCGAAAGTGCAAGTAGACTAAGTCGCAAAATACTCGACTCTCTTATGAAAAAGCAAGTTAAAGTTATTATCACGGTGTTGCGAAGATTTCGGGTATGATAAAAGTATAAGGTAGCAATTAATCATGGGCAGCAAAGCGATCGCAGTTTGTATTAAAAGCAACACAGCCAACCGACACAATCTACTTTTATCATCGAGAACGAAGTGATAGAACAAGTTTTAATGAAGACGTTTATCGAAAATCTTGGTTTCGATCTGTTTCCATTTTTTAGCGCTCGAGATATTTCTTCTGCTTGATGTTCCGCTAAAATTAATCATTCACGATCGAGTGGCGTTTTATAATTTTTAATAACCGTGATAATTCGATCGAGGAGTTTTAGAAGGCGAGCATCGCACGTAGCCGAAGGTGGGCCGACCGGATTCGAACATCCAATTGCGAAAATGCGTTCGCCCCGTCGGTGGGGAAACTTCGCGTGTTCGTCGGTGTAGTGTGCGACGAGATGGCCCGGTGTATGCATGCATGTGTGTGAATGCATCTCGTGCAGCGGATGCAACTGCGAGTGGTCAGTAGCTCGCAAACCGAGTGACCGCTCCGTGCATCTCTCGCTCGAGTTCCGGGCGTGAAAGTGGAGGGAAAAAAAGCCAGTTTTCGTCGCGCCGTGAACTTTTTTAATTGCGTTTTGCTCGAAATGTTTCTCGAGTAAAAATTTATCAGAGATGGATGGACGTACAGATGTTGTGAAAATAATACATCTACGCGAGTTGCAAGTGAGAAAAGTGTTGCGATATAAATTGTGCAGTGTAAATTAATATAGATAGAATATTAGCGAAATTAATTTAAGGTAGATCAATTAAATTTTGGCACTATTGTAACGTGCGATGTCGTCGTGTACTGAAACAATGAATTAAGTCAGAGAACATGTGAAATATTTAGGTTTCTTGTTTGGTAATACAATTCACGCGAGTTGAGTGAATTGTTGTCAATTCTTTTCTTATTCCAATAAATTTTAAAATATAGCGTATATAATTATTGTGCGTGGGCATATAATAAAGGATAGATCCTACTATAACATATGAGATGTAATTTGTAACGATACAAGTACTAAGTCACACCATTTTCCTACATCGCTCTTAATTTTAGATGCTGATATATGAGGGTTATATAAATAATTATGTTTTGCAAGATGAAGATTGAATCATCGCTTTTATCGCATATTGCCCTATAAAGGTTTTTCGAGAAACTTGTTTATGCGCGGCAATACAGATACGCATATAAATTAATTTTTAGAGCGGAAAATCGAGTACTGACGATGCGCAAGGCAACACGAAGCGTCGTGACAGTTTCTTCGTAGACGGATTAAGAAAGGAAACGGAAGTTGCGCCATAAGTTTTAATAACACATAAATAAA